GGGGGGGGTTGTGAAGGAGGAGAGAGATATACAAAGATGTATCGGCAGGGGAGGAGGGAGACAAAAAATAGTATGTTTATGTTAATGAAATTGAAGGAGATAAAGAGGGAAGGGAAACAGGTGTATGCGTTAAGGTAAGCGGAAAAGATGGGGGCGGAGGGATGTATACTTGTATGTATATTAAGGTAATGAGGAGTAGTTGGTGGAAACTTACGTGTGTTCCTTTTGGTAATTTTGGGGAGGGGAGAGGGGAGATATCTACAGATATGTTCTTAAAGCTAATTGGGTTGGGTTGTTGTTGTTTTGGGGTTTTTTGTTTTTGCTGTTGTTGTTGTTGTTTTTGTTGTGTTTGTTGTTTTTATTGGGGGGTTTTGTTGTTGTTGTTGTTGTTTTTTGGGGGGGAGGCGGGAGGGGAGAGGACATACACACGTGTGTATATTAAGATAAGTTGAGGGGGAGGGGAATGGGCTAGAGATTTACAAATATGTATGCTAATGTCATTTTCTTCACCGATTTTTGGCGTTCTCCTTCCTCAGCGAGATGTAAATGTCTCTATCTGATCAAACACAGTTCTTTTTTCTTTAAGACTGAGGGTTTTTATTCTCTAAAAAGAAGTGTCAATGTCTCAATCCTGTCACAACTAGCTTTAATTGTCTAACTAAGATAGATTTTCTTTTCTTTTTTTTTCTTCTAAGGGGCAAATAAATTTACAATCAATCCAAGCACAATCCATCTTTCTGTGTAGTTGGGTGTTTCCTTCATACATGAGATCTAAATGGTGTAAGTTCGTAAAATATGTGAGGCAGCGTGGTGGAATCGGGCTCTCGTCAAAATAATCAAAGTTAAGAAACTGGTATTTTTCCGCAGATTTGAGAAATTTTATCGATTTTTTGGTTTTTGGTTCAACACCTTTCATGCCTATTAAAAAACTCATTTCTGTGTGGATTTGATTGAAAAACGTGGATTGAAGGCACAAAAAATGTAAATTTTCAGTTACCACGGACTCTTATGCTCAGGAAATAAATAACTTTTGGCAGCCATTTTCTCACCAATTTTACCTCTGAAACCAGGTGACCCCAACCTCCTTTATTCGCAAATATCTCGACTTGTATTCAAGATAAATGGATATTTCTTTCATCCAAAGCAAGACAAATGAACAAGCTTTAAGATGATACCAATAACTCTACATGCTCAAAAATTGACGAGAGCCTGATTCCACCACGCCCTACCACAAATGGTGTAATTTCATAAAATATA